TACTCACATACTGACTGAACTATACAAAGGTCAGTGTTAATCTGAGTGTGGAAAGAATCCAAACACTAAAACATTATGCTGGCCTGTGGTCTATACCTATACCTGACCCTCTCTCATATTTCTTTTTTTTTTGGGGGGGGGTTCCAGTAGTGGGGCCTGAACTCTGGGCCTGGGTGCTGTCCCTCAGCTCTTCAGTTCAAGGCTAGCACGCTACCATTTGAGCCATAGCACCACTTCCGGCTTTTTTCTTTTTTGCTTATATGGTGCTGAGGAATCGAACCCAGGGCCTCATGCATGCAAGGCAAGCGCTCTACCACTGAGCAATCTTCCCAGCCCCCTCTCTCATATTTCATTTTCTCCCATCCACAACTTTCTTCAGATTGTGGTTACATATTTGGAGATAACTCCAAACTTTTACTTGTCTAACTCTTTGGAGGAAGAAGCAGCAGCCTTTTTTACCACCTCTAAGTTCTTTAAAAACATTTGCAGAGGAACAGCTTTAGTTGTGGAACATTATGGATCACAACACATTGATTGAAAAATTCATGAACCACTTTTTAAAAACTTTTAAAAATCACAAAGCCGATTTATTCCTTCACAATCTTATGACACATAGGAAATCATTATTCCCTTATAAAATCTTATAAGAGGGCAACTGTGGCTCTAAGATTAAGAAACAAGCTGATAAATGTCACAAACTATAAACAGATCCTAAATCTTTAAAAGAACAGTACTCTTAGACAAAGCACAGTGGCTCCCAACTACTCTGGAGGCTGAGATTGGGAGGATTGTGCTTCAAGGTCAGACAGGGCAAAAGTTGGCAAGACTTCATCTCAGCAAATAGCCTGTCATGTAATCCCAGCTACATGGGTAAAAGTATCATGATCTGAGGCTGGCCTCAATTTTTAAAAAAACAAAGTAACCACTCTGCAACACTCTACATATGTACTTAAGTATGTACACACACATTCAAATCTACACACAGCTGGACTTAACTGAAAAGTAGGGAATTTAGTTTCCAACAATTTATAATTATCAATCAAGGTCATGTCACTCAGGGTAGCTTCTCATTTAAATTACCAAATGAATCCCATTGTTTACTCATAGTTGGAAACCATTAAACACACTGGTTCATATTTTACTGCTGACCACTAACTCCTTCAAGGTAATGACTGAGTTCAATATTACAAAGTTCTTCTGTCTTGTGAGCTACTGTTTTACTATCTCTATACAGTGTTGCTAGGTATTTCTTCTCTTCTCTATTTATCGGGTATTTGTAGGCTTGCACTCTCTTTTATTTATTTATCTCCTAAAGACAGAACTTTATTCTCATATTTGATCTGCATATTCACAATAGAATCCTACTGATCATTCTTGGTTTTTTTATGTGTGTGTTTTTTTTGGTTGGAGGGGATTTTTTGGTCTATTGTGGGGCTTGAACTCAGGGCATGGACGCTGTCCCCAAGCCTCTCTGTGCTCTCTAGCATTCTTTTTTTTTGTCGGTCGTGGGGCTTGAACTCTGGGCCTGGGAGCTGTCCCTCAGCTCTTCAGCTCAAGGCGAGCGCTCTACCACTTGAGCTACAGCACCACTTCCGATTTTCTAGTGGTTTATTGGAGATAGGAGACTCACGGTCTCTCCTGCCCAGGCTGGCTTTGAACCACGATTCTCAGATCTCAGCCTCCTGAGTAGCTAGGATTACAGGCGTGAGCCACCGGCGCCCGGCTTGCTCTCTAGCATTCTACCACTTCAGCCAAAGCTCCACTTCTGGTTTTTGAGTGGTTAATTGGAGAAAAGAGTCTTGGGGGGGGGGGGACTTTTCTGCCACGTTTTGAAACACAGTCCTCAGATCTCAGCCTCCTCAATAGTTAGGATTACAGGTATAAGCCATCAGTGCCCCACTACTCATTGTATTTTTAAGATATAATTAGCCAGGCGCCGGTGCTCATGCCTGTAATCCTAGCTACTGAGGAGGCTGAGATCTGAGGATCATGGTTCAAAGCCAGCCAGGGCAGAAAAGTCCATGAGACTCTTATCTCCAATAAACCAATAAAAAACCAGAAGTGGCGCTGTGGCTCAAGCAGTAGAGTGCTCCCCTTGAGCTGAAGAGCACAGTGGTTAAGCCCAGAGTTCAAGCCCCACGACCAAAAAAAAAAAAAAAAAAAGATATAATTAATACATCAATTATCTTTGAACTCATAAAACTTTATGTTCATATTTAGAGTCCCATCCCAAAGATAATTCCCTCTCCTTGGAAATTGGAAACTAAAAATATGAAAACACAGTATTTTGTTACAAAGAATACTCAATAGCCTATTATTAAGCAAAAACTTCTCTGGATTTTCCTGTTACAATTCTTGTTTCATAAACTATTTTCCAAGCTTACTTTGTAACAACAGTAACTTTCAAATTACTCATGACCATGATTCCTTACAGTAATATAACATGAAATGTAAAACTAGTTAGAAAAGAACTTATTTCAAAGTAAATCATGAAACATAATTAAAGCTATCTCATATTTTATTAATTTCAATATACATTTCTAACAATTTAAAGTAGGTATTTTATTTTCTTTCAGACATTTCACCAACAATCACTAATGGCCTTTGGAGCTACCTAAAGTTTAGGAATGTTCAAAACTGAAAATGTCACCATTTTTCAGCAGAGAAAAGTTGACCCTAAAGTGAATCAAACAAATATTCAAGAAAATGAAGATGAATGTTTCTTAGTTTTTATTTCCAATGATACTGCCTAGTATAAACTAGAAAACAGTTAATAATAGTAAAGAAAGCAAGGAATGCTAAAATAGTCAAACTTTTAAAACCATCTCATCTGAGATATCTTAACTTGGTTTCCCAATAAAATGTGACTTTTTACAAAGTATATGAACATTATAGACATTTTTCCCAAAATAAAATACTTAGCTTTTATTACAATGTTAAAGGGATCTATAACTGGAAAGAGACTGAGAACCATTATCTAGTCAATATAAAAACAATTACTGACATTCAGAGAAATAGTTATTTGTCTATGGTCAAATAACCAGCACCAGTTTTAATACTCAAGCTTTCCTTTACTGAAGTATGAACAGTGATTAAAATATTTTTAATAAGCAAAAACAAATCTATATAATGTAAGACCTCAGGGAACTCGAGCTAAAAGTGTGGCTCAAGTTGTGAAGAGCCATTCTTGAGCAAAGTTCAAGCCCCAGCACTCATTCACTCTCACGGTTACACACACACAAATGTTGATGACTACCTCTAGAGAGTAGAACTCAAGGTTGAGTAAGAACCACAATATTGGGGCTTTTTTTTTTCCCTTCACCCACAATAAGCCTTGAAACAAAAACATTTCCATTATCTACACTAGCAGTTCCCTGATGTATATGGTTTACATTTACTGACATTTTTGTGTGATGTTTATTGTGTGCTTCAGAGAATTTTTTTGTATTAAGTGGTCATACAAAGAAGTTAGTTACAATTTCCTATGTCAGATTATGAACACAATGCATTTAGAAAATTTTTTGATTACATATATCCAAAGCTGCTAGATAAATTACCCTAGCATGAGAGGTTACTGGGCCAACTACATGTGAGCATAATATTTCAAACTGGGGCTGGGAAGGTGGCTCAGTGGTAGAGCATGCTTGCCTTGCATGCATGAGGCCCTGGGTTCGATTCCTCAGCACCACATAAGCAAAAAGAAAAAAGAAGTGGCACTGTGGCTCAAGTGGTAGAGCGCTAGCCTTGAGCTGAAGAGCTGAGGGACAGCACCCAGGCCCAGAGTTCAGGCCCCACGACCGGACCCGCCCCCCGCAAAATAATAATATTTCAAACCTTCCAGACCTGTGAAAGGTGAGCCAGCCAAGTATGTTCTATAAATGATGTGCAGGGCAGTTTGAAATATTTCACATAAGAAGCTAGATTGTTTGGAAAACATTACTTCTATAAAAAGAAATTAGTGAAGATAAAACTTTCAATGATACATATAAACTTTTGTTGTATTTTCAAGAATTTTCTTTTATTTACTTCTTTAGCTAAATAGACTCATTTTTAACTTAAAAGAAATATTAACACTAGTATAAAACCACAGGAGACTGAACTAATCACATACTAACAATACTTCCAATTAAGCCCTTTAGTTTTTTTTTAAAGTGGTATTATGAATCTGTGGTATTTGCTACAGAATCAAATAATATATCTAAAGACAGACTACATTCTTACATTTGTCTAGTATTTAAAATGTTTTAATTATCACTACCTCTATCTCAAAAACTATCTTATTTTACTTCATATGGAAAAAGTTTAACTATATAATTACTTTTTAAAATAGAAACCTGAATAATAAGATATTAAGAATATTTTAAGAAATGGAAACAAATGTAATTTATTCCATACACTAATAATCTATAACGCAAAACATCATACATTTTAACAAATATAATAATACTCTGGAGTAAATTGTTTATTATATTTTCAAAAACACTATTTTTCTCTTAAATTTAATAAAAGAAAACTTCATTGATGAAGCTTATTTTCAAATATATACACAAGCACAGCTAATTAAGAAGTTATCACAACTAATCCAGAAACATACAAATAAATATTTTAATATTGCAGTTTGAAAACAATCTCAATGGCTTATTTTACCTAAATGATTCATCTATTGAATAATTTACAGTAGATTAGAAACTATAATGTCTCTTGATATCAAATAGTAATAAAACTTTAACAGTTCTGTTAACATAGCTTTCTTAAAACCTTAAAGCAAGAAAAAATTTTAAATATTTTTCTATAAACCTAATTATATTTTTAGTAATCATCTTTCTAACATTTAAAAGTACACGAGAAAAAAAATCAAAATAATCTTCCCCTTCCATACAAGATCCTAAAAGCATATTTTATGATAACTCTAGGCAAAATTTTACTTAAGTCTATAGCAAAAGTAAACATGGATTTTTTTTGTAATTAAAGCATTTTAAAAGTTTTTACTATCAACTTACCTTCTTTTGATACCACACTATAGCATCTGTGACTTTGGACGCCATTTATTCCACAGAAATTACACATTTGTCATTTTAAGCTGTACAAGAGAAAAACATACAAATGATTTTACTTCTACCTTTCAAAAGGAGACTGAACAACATGCATACACACCACTCTGGTTACTTGTAGGACAAGGAGTGTATGACCACACTTATATTACACCCTTCTTCATTACTATTTTAGCAACAGGTTCTCTTAGTAAACAAAAATCAGCTGTCATAATAAAAGGAGGTTCTCTCTTTACGTATATAGTACTTGAATGTCCTTACAAAATAGATGAAAGTACTTTTTAAGAAAAAATAAGCCTTTTATGTAAGTTTCAGATTTTTCTAGGTTATTTTGGAAACTTCATTTGTAAGTTTACATATAAGAGAAAACCATTCTCTTAGTAACAGGTCAGTTACTAATCAACTAGTGTCAATTACTGTTGCTACCTTGTACAACCTTTTGAAGTTCAGAAAAGTATCTGCTGCTAAAAATAAATGGTTGATAGAGAAATCAAAATTTATAATCACAAATAACTTTCATGATAATAAACACAAAATCACTAAAGTGAACCAGAGAAGTTTAAAATTTGTATTAACTGTTAAATCAATAACAGTTAATCATATAGGGATAACAAATATTAATATTTCTGATATCAGTTTGCTAATATTTAGAAATTTACATGGGTCATCCAAACTGCATAATTCTTGCATTTGTCCAAAACAATACTGGTACAACATTTAACAGTTTCTTACCCATATAGAGAATTTCAATCTGATCTTAACCCTATTATTAACTCTAGATTACTTTTTCAATCATAAAATGACACTTCCAGGAGAGTACCTCTGTAAGGATAAGCCAAAAACAGACACTCAGAATCCAGGACAAAGAATCCTGTTAAGCCCACTCTAGCACACACAGATAAGCAACTGCAGGAAATAGCAATACTAAAATTTTCCATAGCTAATAATAAGATCCTAGATTTTTATCAAGATGCATATATATGCTTCAAATATAATGAAAATTACTATCAAATTCAAATGTCAGATAACCAACTAAAATTTAAAGCAGAATTTACTTAATACTTGTTCTGACCACTTACAAATCAAATTCATTATTTTTTCTCATTTTTAGTTGATCCAATCTAAGCATACTGTATTTTGAATTTCCTGTCAAACATATAATAGAAAGAAGAGGATCTAGAAGCCAAGACCTGGATGCAAATATTGGCCCCACTATCTACTGCTTAAAAATCAAGAAGTCAGTGTCTCTGAACTTTGGTTTCATTCACTTGGAAAATAGGAACACATATAGTTACTCATACCTTACACATTCCTATGACCAAAAGATAACATATATAAAAATCCATAAAATGTCCAATTATAATTATCAATTTTAAAAATATTTTTATTGTAAAGATACTGTACAGAGGGATTACATTATATGAGTAAGGTAATGAGCACATTTCCTATTATCATTTTTGTACTTAAAAATCAGGAAGTAGCAAGTTGGTTTTCCTTTTGTAAACATGAAAAGCAAATTAAAACAGGAATACATGCAATCAGTTTTTGTTGACATTGAAAATAAAAAGTACCAGTTAAAAGATCAGAATGTCAATTCTCAAATACACACATGAGTTATTTAGAGATTTCAAAATTCACCTCCTTTGACGTTTTTCAGTCAAATATGGTTATCTTCATTACCCTCACCAGTGTTTTGGGGGGAAGACTTCTCTAATTGATTTAAGAGTCTCTCATCTTGGTTTTTCTATTGTGGAGGTTTCTGAGTGTCATTTATTTTAACCATATTATGCTCTAGAAGTCTTCCCTATTGATTACAATATTGCACCTTCATTATATGTATTTGTCAAGACAATTGCATATGCTTTCAAAACCGGCCATAATAACATTAAACTATATTAATAGTACAAAATGAGAAGACAAATTTCTCACACTACCTTCCTTTCAATTTATTACATTTTTATTGAAAAAAAAATCCACCGTAGGGACAGGAAGGAAAAACTGGAAGTGAGGGAAGGTGTAACACTGTCCAAAAAGAAATATATTCTACCTAACTTAAGTATTGTAACCCTTCTGTACATCACCTTTATAAAAATAATAAAAATATTTACCAAAAAATTCTATTTTATCTAGCAAGGTAATTGTTCCCTCTCCTAATTCTCCAAGAACGGAAAGAGGTCAGAGTCACGGCTCATGGAATAGAATATACCTATGTTGTAACAAGCAAGCTAACTAAGCACAATCTGAGTTCAAACCCCAGAAGCACCAAAAAGAAAACAATAGAAACATATCATTCCACAAAAACATATTAAAATCTTCAATGAAACTTTTTCAATAAAAGTAAGGGAAATATGTGCCTCAAAATAAAATTATTTGAAAGTCAACTTTAAAATGTTTAGATACATCCAGAAATAAATTTAATTATCTAACATTATGCTAGTTATATAAAGTATCCTATATGTTTTAAATTATATGAACTACAGAAAAATTCAGTTTTCTGTTTTAAATTCTTCAGTAACGATGTGCTCTGAAAACTCATTTAGCAGTGTTTCCATTGTGTCAACAACCTTTCTATGACAAAGTGCTCATACCTATTTTTAAAACAGGTTTTACAGCATGCTGAGATAGATTTCTGACTCAGACATATGACAAATCACACTTGGACACACAAAATTCACATGAGTAAAAACTAAATAAAGCCAGATGCTGGTGGCTCACGCCTATAAACCTAACTACTTAGGAGGCTGAGATCTGAGGACTGCAGTTGAAAGCCAGCCTGGACAGGAAAGTCCATGAGACTCTTATCTCCAATTAATTACTATAAAGTCAGAAGTAGAGCTGTGGCTAACATGGTAGAGCACTAATCTTGAGCAAAAAAAAAAAAAAGCTCAAGGACAGCATCTAGTGTGCCCCAGGACTAGCACTTAAAATAGAAAACTAAATAAAAATAGCAACTTTTCATGAGAAAAAAGGAAGAATTAATTTAACAATAAGTTATTTTGTGAATGCAAAGATTATTTCTAAAGCCTTTCCAATTTCTTTGATTCTGTCATATAGATTTATCATCAATGTTATGACAGTTCATACTAAATAAAAATATTACTGAGTGGGTACTTTCAATAGAGGATCAAGTTAGTTACCGAGTTCTCTGAGCCTCAATTTCTTACCAGTATCATATCATATGTTACAAATCCAATAATGATTAAACAAGTTAACAATTCCATAAATATATAAATGTTCCTCCTGAATTATTTGACAAACACACCTCACAACATTAGACAAAATTCATATATAGATCCACATATATATGCACATATATGTCTATTTATATATATGCGTATGTATCTATCTATATGGATACATGTACACACACTGTGTATCTTATTCTAAGTTCTCTGTTCCACTGGATTATATTTCTATTTTATGCCATTACTATACTGTTCTGGCTACTGAAATTATATATTTTGAGCCTCTAACTCTCTGAACTCATTTACTGACTATTGGAGACTTCTGTAATTCCATACAAATTTTTATAGTATTTTTCTTTTATTTCTGTGAGGAATGACATTGGTATTTTGATAGGAGTTGCACTTAATCTGTAATTACTTTAAATAGTATGGACATCTTAGCAATATGAATTCTTATAGTCATGAACATATTTTTATATTCTTCTATTTTATCAGTGCTTTATAGTTTTCATTGTAGGAAGGTAAGAATATGCCACATTTAATTTTTGAGTTTGGCTTTTCTTGCTCAACATCATCTCCAGATCTGTCCATTTTTCTTGCAAATAACAATTTTATTTTTCTTAATGGCTTAATAATACTTCATAGTGTATATACATATATATATATATATACACACAGAAACACACGCATATATATGTAAAGACCTTATCAAAAGGCCTTTTTGTTTTGTTAACAGGAAATCATTTTTAGCACACAGGCAGAAAGGTATAGAAAATATGGCTTGTCTGAAAACTAGAATGTATGGGAAGATGGCATGAAATAATGGTGGTTAAGTAGATTTGGGTCAGATCATATTGAAGTGAAATTCTAAGGGGGTTATTGTGGGTTTTATTTATTTATTTGGTATGACTTCAAAAGCAGAGGCAACAAAAACAAAATCTGATAAATAGAATTACATCAAAATAAAAGGATTCTGTAGTATAAAGGGGGGGGAATGAAGATACACCCTACTAAATAGGAGAAAACATCTGAAAATTATCCAACAAAACAAGCAACTAGGTAAGACAAGTAACAATTCATGTGGACTAATAGAATATGGATGGATGGATGGATGGATGGATGGATGGATGGATGGAGCGAGGGAGAGAGATAGGAAACTGAAAAACCAGCAACAATAATATCAAAATAGTACAAGTTAAAAATAGGAAAATAATCTGAATAGATATTCTCAACTAATAAGATATAAAAGAAATTTTCAACATCTTCCAAATCACATTAGCGAAATGTGAATCAAATCACGATTTCACCCTAGTAAAAATGGTTATTTTAAATTTTTTAATAAATGCTGCCAAATGGTTTCCATCATAAACCATTGATGGAAATATAAATTAGTATAGCCACAAAAGAAACAAGATGGAAGGTCCTCAGAAACTGGAAACAGAACTTTGGTTAAGTTCTTCAGAAACAGAACTATGATATGATCCATTAACTGTACTACTGAGTGTATATTCAACTACTGAGTGTATATTCAAAGAAAATCAGTATGTAAAAGAGATATCTGCACTCCTGTGTTTAATTTATTACTATTCTAAGATATATATAGATATATATATAAACAAATAAATGGATAAAGAAAATATAGTACAATACAAATGAAATATTATTCATGAAAAAGAATGAAATCCTGTCATTTGCAGCAACACAAAACTAGAGGACATTATGTTAAGTAAATTAAAGATGACATAGAAAGACAAATACGGTATGTGCTCACTTAGATGCAAAAGCTAAAGAAGTTGATCTCATAGAGAAGTAGAGTAGAATGGTGTTTACAGAAGCTGAGAAGG